CCTTCCCCTCCACAAATTATACCAACATCAAATACAGTGAAAACAGGGGTTATACTGTGGGGGAGGAACATACAAAGCAACAAAGAAATATCTTATAAATATGTTAGACACAATAGCAAGAAAGAAAAAACATTTGAGTTCTTAACTTGAGGTTCATTTCACTTAACATCAGCTTATCTGACCATTTCTGCTTGTCTTAGACATATACTACTTATTGCAAATAAGGGAAACCATGGAACCTATGTTTCTTTGGGCCTGGCTTACTTCACTTAATATAATTTTTTCCAAGTCTTTCCATTTCTTAACAAACAAGGCAATGTCATTCTTTCTGATGGAGGCATAGAATTCCATTGTGTATATATACCACATTTTCTTGATCCATTCATCTACTGAGGGGCATCTGGGTTGTTTCCATATCTTAGGTATGGTAAATAATGTTGCAGTAAACATAGTCATGCTGGTAGCTTTAATGTTTATTTGTTTGTTTGTTTTAACAAATTAAGGTGCAGATAGAAAGAGAAGGAAATGAAAATCTGGTTGCTTAAGGAATTTTGTATCCAAATACCTATGAATCTTGTAGACACTGGAATTTGAAAATAGACTAAATGCTAATTATCAGTAATGCCCCTCCCATGAGTAAATCTTACTACAAATAAACAAACAGAGGGAGTCTGTGACTCCTCTGCCCTGCGGCTCCTTTGTCCCCTTCCTGGAGACTGCATCTGATAGAGAACTCTGCCCATGCTCTAGACTTTCCTGGCCCTTTTCTTGTTTTTTCTTTCTTACTTTTGCCTTCATTTCAACCCATCCCTGTCATTTGTCATTTGTAAGGCTTCACATCTATCATGTTCTTGTATCTCATTATGTGTCCTGTTCTTGTTCTGGGTTCCATTCCACAGTCACCTAATGAGTTAACCAGGGCCTGTGTGATTTAGTATTACAGATTCCAGGAAGGGCTCTGTATTTCTATGAGAGTGTTTTGACTGTGAGTGATGCAAATAAGTGAACCACTCCAAAGAGAAGATATTTTTACAAGAAGAAACCCTTCAGGACCCCTCAGGTGACTCTAGATAGTGGTCTCCTGACCCACTTGTTTGCACAGAGCCAGCAGTGAGTAACCATATGGACAGAATGAAAACCATCTTCTAACTTTATTGGAAATCGTGGTCCCTCAATTTTAACTCGCAAATCTTAATGAAAACCACAATGGAAAGTAAAACTGATACATTACAGAAATATCTCTTTCCTTATCCCTCTTTCAATCATGAGCCACATGTTTGTTTCTTTTGTTTAAAGCAAAGAAGAATTATGTGGGCTTGAAAAACTTGTTTCGATGCCATAGAGGAGACTCATATATTCTGTTTCTCTCCTTTCTTACTCTGAAAATATAAAGAAAACATTGCTTCGTAAAATAATTTCATAGATAAACCAGTGAAAATTTAAGACACTTAACTTTTTGAGCTTTAGGATTCCAGGCAAAGTTGCAAAGTAGGGGATAATAACATTTACTTCATAGGGCTATGAAGTAAATGACATCATGCATACAGAGTAATTGGCCCAGTGCCAAGAACATAAGTAGGAACTCAGTAAATGTAATCCCTTCTCTGTCTTTTTATATAATAGCCAGCTAAATGGTTGTAGAAATTAGGGATGTTTTCACAGAAAAGATAATGTTTGAGTCCTCTGGATGGAGCATGGGTTGAATGGATTAATGAGCAGATACATAGTTAAAGTAGTGTTTGGGGTTAATATCAGTCAGCTCCCCCTGGAAGGACAAGATGCTGAGAGAACTTTGCATAGATGACTTTGCATAGGTCTGGGCAGTATAGGAAGGATCTAATTTTTGAAATATATCACAGATAAAACTCAGCAGAGTTGTTGACTGACAAGACTCAGGAGTGACTGAAATGCTGCTGTCCTTGGCTTGGTAGAAGACTGAAGGAGGGACAGCACTAGTGAATGAAAAGAGATACAGGGAAGAGGGGGTGCGGAGTATATTTGGCGTGCTCGTTAAGATGAGATTTGGAAAAAGGTGGGACTTTTCATATCTTAATGTAATATTAATATGTTTAAATAGAAAGAAATAAAGACAAACACTAACGAATTGATAGGATTTCAAAAGCCAAGAAGGAGAAATGGGCATCATGGAGGGAAATTCATGAAGTCCCTAAGTAAAGGAAGGGTTGATAATCAAATATTAAATCCCAGAGGGGAAGAAAGAAACAGGAGACATAGATGGGAATGGAAGACTGTCATCATCTGTAGCAGAAATCGAAAAGAGCCACAAGGAGAAAGGGTGTGGTTATCCAGAGCCTTGTCCCTTTCCCTGCTCCCTCATCTCCATGTCTTTCCCATCATTCAATGCTGACTGCAATGCCAGTGGTGTCAGCGCAGCCCCTTACCTTCACAAAAATGGCTTTCTGTATGGTTGACAAAAGGTCTTGTCTTCTGAGTCATCAGACATAGTCTCTCAGTCTCATGACACTCAGTCCCCTTGTTGTAATCTGGACTTGTATCAACTTTTCTCCACTTTTAAAAAAGTATACATCAGGGATGCAACCTAACAATGTTTTCACTGGAGACTTGTGCAAATGAGGGAATACTGGTAGTGCTGGGCATATAATCTATATAGCTAAGTGCTTGCTAAAAGGCAGACTTTAAATCACTTGTTTTTTAAAAAAGTCATAATTTTTTAAAACAAATTGTAAGCTTAGTGATCTGTGCTAACATTGTTATAAATCCTCAGAATATCTACAGAGAATTGAAAATGTTTGTGCAACATTTTCCTGATAGATGTAACGGTCACGTGAACTTTGAATTGTTTTTGTTTTCATGCCTAGTTAGTCCTCATTTGACTACATGATTACACAGATTGGAAAGAGGGAAAATTAGGTGAAAGAGAGGAATGAAGCAGTTCAAGCCATTTGTTTATTCCCAAATATATTTTATCTGGCTTCAATGCATAAAATAGAAGTCTATAATAGTCATAGTAGTTTAGAAAGCTACTCAGGTACTTAGATTTCCTAAAACTTTCAAGACTCTTGTTATTACTGTTTTGTTCATATGCTTTTTGAAATATTGGGGTTTGAAGTCAGAGCCTTGGCAGACACTACTGCTAGCCAAACCTCCTGCCCTTTTTTCCCAGTGTGTGGTTATTTTCCAGATAGGCTCTTGCTTTGTGCCTAGGATTACACTTGGACAAAAATTCACTTTTACATTTCCTACTGTAGCTTCGATGACAGGTGTATTGCTACCATGTCTTGCTTTTTCCACTGAAATAAATTGTCCCGGAAGTATGATCCTCCCCTACTCTGCCTCCCATGTAGCTGGAGTATCAGGTGTGCAGCACCAAACCCAGCTATAAGTTGATGTTGTGTGTATGCCTGGGCTGGCCTCACACTTATGTCTTTCCAATCTCAGTGTCCCAAGCAGCTAGAATTCTATAATTCTAGATGGTGGTATGAACCACCAGCCCCTATCCTTTTATGTATGTTGTGGGAGAAGGCAGGGGTAGCCAAATGGGGAAATTTTTAAGTTAATTTATAGAAAAATAGAATTTGGAATGTTACTATATGTAAGTGAGGAAACCTAAGCTTCACAATGTTGTGTGCATTTCCCAAACTTTTTAATTTTTAAAACAAGTTTAAAAAAATTTTTTTTCTCAATTTGAAAAAGACAAACATGAATGGCAGTCCTTTTCTTCAAAGTTTACATTAAAAGAGAGCATTGGTTCACGGTGTATATTTAAATTACATTGTTACTTTATTTTTAGAAACAGTGAACTAAATTTTAATATTCTGCCTTTTTCCATCTCCCCAACTTCTGTGACACACTAAGAAATCTGAACACATGGGCTGGGAAGGTGGCTCAGTGGTAGAGCGTTTGCCTTGCATGCATGAGGCCCTGGGTTCAATTCCTTAGCACCACATAAGCAAAAAGAAAAAAGCCAGAAGTGGTGCTGTGGTTCAAGTGGTAAAGCGCTAGCCTTGAGCTGAGGGGCTGAGGGACAGCGCCCAGACCCAGAGTTCAGGCCCCACGACCGGACCCAAAAAAAAAAATCTGAACACATTCAAGCACACCTTCATCAAATTGGTTCTTAACCCCCAGTTATTGTTTTATAGTCTCAGTTGTTCATTTCTTTTGCATAATTCTCACCCCTTAATATAATGTTGTGATTATTATCAGTGAGTTAGAAGTGGTGTTCAAGTAAGTATAAAAAAATATATATTTTTGTTTAAGCTAGGTGCTGGTGGCTCATGCCTGTAATCCTAGCTTCTCAGAAAACTGAGATCTGAAGATCAGGGTTAGAAACCAACCACAACATGAAAGTCCATGAGATTCTTATCTCAAATTAACCACCAAAAAGCCAGAAATGGAGCTGTGGCTCAAGTGGTTGAGCACTAGCCTTGAAAAAAAATATATCAGGGATGGGCCCCAGGCCCTGAGTTCAAGCCCCAGGACCAACCAAAAAATAAAAGTCTTTAAAAAGCAGGGACCTGTTTTTTTCTATTAAATTTGTTAAACATACACACACGCACACCCTCATGTTCTGTGATCTGTAGCCAGGCAGCTCTGTCTGCAGAGCCAAAATAAATAGAATAATGCAGGCAGCTTTTCCACTGTTACATTTCATAAAGACTGTGTGGGTCAGAGAACTTTAATAGCTCTATGGCCTTGTATTTCTCTTTGTATTTGACTACAGACAGTGTTATTAGAGGAAAAAAAATTTAGAGTACTGCTTCCCTATTTTCCCCTAGTCTGTCAGGTAACTACCTGTTCTTCAAAGCCAAACATCAAGCTACAATCCAAAGACTCAGAGGAAGAAGCCTGGCCATTCCCTTTTTGCAGTTTAGTTTGAAATTTAGAATTCCCATGGCCTACTCCTTAGTAAAGAACACTTTGTACTTTAAAGCTCACAGATGTTTGAAAAATATGCATGTTCTTTGGACTTAGACATTGATAAGAGTTCCTTATACCTTCTTCTTCTTTTGCTTTTTCAGATATGGCAAAATAGTCTCCACAAAGGCAATTTTGGATAAGACAACAAACAAATGCAAAGGTATGTTTCTTTGTGACTGATTATTTCCTAAACCATAACCTTAGAAAAATGATGGAATGAACTTTCAAAATGACCCCCAGTTTATTAAAAACCAAGTCTCTTATGTTACCCAGTTTCTTTCTTGCACAATATTAGCTTATTGCTTACGTTTGTTTTGTCCCTGGTTTGAGTTTTGGCTGGAAACCCAACAGCAACTAGCAGTTTGCCAGAATTCCAGATTTGGCACCAATAGAGTTAACATGGAAAATACTAGCTGGCATTTAGCCCCTGCTTTTAAAAAGGGATAGAGTTAGAAAATAGCTTTTCTTTCCTGAGCCTGAGGAGATTAGAGCTGCTTACTGAAGACCATTGGACTGTACTAAAGAACTGAAAAGATTACATATTGTGCAAATTGGCTCTATTAATTAGAATAGAGTAGTTTTAAGCAGTACTTAATTACATGTTTCAATACTCCCAATTGTTCTCTGCTGAATGCCTGTTGACAATATTGGCAGCAGGAAGGAGAGACCCATTTTCACTGACCAAATTGTACCAGGGAGGGGAGGTCATGCACCCCTTTGAAATATGCTGCTGCATTAATTTGATGCACTGACCTTCAGTTTTCCATGTAATTAGGATGAGCTCATCCAGCTCCATGAACTGCAAGAGGAGGCATCTACAGTAGGCCGCACAGATGCTGTGTGGTTGTGACTTTTAATGATCCAGCATCTTAACAATAGGCATGTGATTTCTAGGAAAAGGGAAGAATGGAGTCAGCTGACTTTGAATCTAACTACTGACCCCATGAATTGAAGTAAGGTTGACAGGAATAGGCAGAGAAGGCAAATCTCCTCGTTAATTAGACCCTAGTTTTTCAAGTAGTAGGGATGGGGCAGTGGAACATAAATGAACCTCATGGTAGGGCCTCTCCTTGTAAGCCAGCCATTTCCTTTAATCTAGACTTGAAGTGGTTCATTGTATTTCTGTCTCTTCTTCAAAGTGCCTAGATTTAAAGGAGCTATTGTGGAAAGTATCTAAGCCCATGTTTAATCAACATGGCACATTAAGGCAGTTTTGCCTTGGGACAGAGAATCGAGTGTGCTTTATGGAAAATGCTGCCCAATAAATATTTAAAATGAATTAAACCAGAAGAGAGTCAAATTGTAGATGGAAATGCATATACTTAGTTGCCAAGATTAGTCTTATTTAGCATTCATAAATGACCTGGGAAAGCAGCAACATAGAAAATAAAAAATCTTTTGGTTTTATGAAGAAAAGTGGACTCTTGCAGGCACAAAACAGAAAGCTGATTTCAAAAGGTAGTTTCAAACCAAGAGAGAAATCATAATTGATAAGTGGTTTTAGCCTTACCATTCATTCGCTCTTTTTCTTCCCTGTCACAAAAGAAATCTTACATAGCAGCTCAGTATGCTAAAAAGCACAGCTTCTGTATTAAATGAAAGAAAGGCCCTAGAGGTCTCCCTGGTTGAAATTCTCTACCTTACCCTGCACCAAAAACCACTATTGTACAGCCTGCTCTCTCAGATGCTAATTCCACAGTATGCTTGTCAGGACCAAATACAGGTATGGATAAAGACAAACTTCTGATAAGCCTAATATTAAGATGCTAAACCCATGTTATATCATACCATATATCATATCATGTTGGAAAGTATTCAAAGATTTGTGGAGCTTCTAAATAAAATTAGGTGTAAGTCAGAACTGATTGAAATTCAAGCATTTTAGGGACCTTCCCTTCACTTGGGGATTTGGGGACACTGCCTTGTTGTGGACCAATGATAATACCCTCCAGAGCTGTCTGCATCTCACGGCCTGCAGACAGTGAGTGTCAGTAGATATCTAGAGGGGAGGGAAAGGGGTCAGCAAGAGTGGGTTGAAAAGATCTTGAAGCGAGAATGGAAGTGTTTTGGGGAGAGGAGCAATGTTAAGACCAATGAGGAAAAATAACAACTGGACTCACAGTATAGTTAGATAATGTGTTACTCTTGCTTATCATGGTAAATAGGCACATAGGTACAGATAGAAAGATGACAGATTGATAGGTGAATAGCTAAATAATATAGAACAGATTACAGAGTACATGAAAAGTACTTCTCTAGCAATTTCGTTATACACTTAACTCTTAGAAATTAGTCAAGAATGAAATGCATGAAAAAATAGAGATCTTACGAAGTGGCAGGACTTTTGTGTCACAAAATGTATCTTGGAATCAATTTTGAACAAAATTAAAGGAAACTTTTTAAGTCTGAATAACATGTATCTTAGCTGTTGAAAATCCAGTTATTTCTTAAAATGCAATTTTTTTCAAGAGTTATGTCAACGAAACGTATTTAAATGCTTACCAGTAATTTTGTATGTGTTAGTTCAGGACCAAAAAAAATTCCAAAACCCTCACAAAGGGTTGATTGTGAAACTCAGCATCGATAGTAAGCATATAAAACAGCATATATACTTCTTGTACATTAGTAAAATAGGTGAAGATAAAGCAGATCAATAGGAAAAATGTACGTAGGAGTAATATCCTGGGAACCAAAGCAAAAACAGAGAAAATAACAATCCCTATGATATAGATATCACACTATGGGGAAAGAGAGTTTGGATTTCAGTGAGCAAGATTAGTGTAACTCTTTTTAGTCCTACATCCTGAGAAGTCTTCCTAGAACTTTGATGAGAGGATCTTCATGGTATTTCATGAACCCTGCCTTCAAAGACAATTTTCTACATATTTATGTACTTAATCCTTAGACCCTGCATAACTCAAATTTTATACCATCTGATAGTTACTTTAAAATAGAGCACCAGGTTGCATACTTACCTGTTGTATTTATCTTCAACAAATGATTACAAAATGTTATAGCAGTATTCCACAAAGGTCAGAAAGGGAAGTAAACAATTAACTAAATACAACAATTATTTATATCTCTTAATAAGAAAATAGATTTAAAAAAACCATTCGTGGCTGGGAAGGTGGCTCAGTGGTAGAGTGCTTGCCTTGCATGCCTGAGGCCCTGGGTTCCATTCCTCAGCACCACATAAGCAAAAAGCCGGAAGTGGTGCTGTGGCTCAAGTGGTAGAGTGCTAGCCTTGAGCTGAAGAGCTGAGGGACAGCGCCCAGGCCCAGTCAGGCCCCACAACCGGACCAAAAAAAAAAAAAAAAAACCATTCGTATTATGTGACTGGATTGTAACTTCAAGGACAATTACATCATAGCTGAGATCTGTTCATTTTATTGGCAGTAGCAAAATTGGGGGGGGGGGGAGCTAAATGTCTTATCAGTAGAAGCTGTATCATTTCAGTGTAGCTGGGTGTTTGTATACAACCTGCTGAGACTGTGGATAACAGTGAAGGAAGGGACAGGGAGCAAGTGTGTGTGTGTGTGTGTGTGTGTGTGTGTGCACGCGTGCATGTGTGCACACGTGTGCCTGCACGCGCACGGCATTGTAAATGATCATAAACAGATTTCTAAAATAACACTCCAAATACATTTAACCTAATTCCTAACCTGGTAGTTGAGTAGTGTCTTCAGCTTTGGCCTGGATCAGCCTTCTCCTCTTTCTCCCTAACTTAGCTATTTCTCTACTGTCTAAATCAAATTAAGCCTATTTCAGTCCAATTCCAAGTAATACAGAGAAACTGCTTCTTGCTTCAGCTTTAACATTCATCTCTTTAAAGCATCTATTTTTTTTGTAATCAATAGTCTACTCTGTTTCATTGTGACTTACTTTGCAACCAGGCATTATTTCTGTTATTAATGCTGCTAAAGCTACCAGACTTTCAGAATTTAAGACTTTCTGTTTCACTCTTTGGCTGTCTGTTTCTTTTAATATTAGTAAAATACTGTCTAAATTAATATTCCTTCATAATACCTGGAAATCAACAATAGCTATGCCCCCTCTTCTACACAATCTCAAAATATACTTGCTCATTTTAAATTAATTTTGGGGCATGATGACAAATGCCTATAATCCCAGCTACTCAGGAACTAGAGGCAGAAAGATCACAGTTGAGCACTCTATGTCAAAAACAAGCCAAGCCAAATGTAATTTGAGCTGCTAGATAGATGGAAGTTGGCAAATAATCACAGGGCTAAGGTGTGAGACTATAATTAATTAATTTAACTTATTAAAAGTGAAAGTACAGAAATGGAGGGACAAAGGGTGAAAAAATGCAACAGTGATGCTCACTGGACACTATGTTGAAAATGAACTGTTCAACTCGTGAGTAGAGGATGGGTGGGAAAACCTGGGAGAGAGTAAAGAAAGAGGTGATGTTGTCCAAAAAGAAATGTACTCTACCTGACATATGTAACTGTAACCCCTCTGTAATCACCTTTAGAATAACAATTAAAAAATTAAAGCAAGCAAACCAACATCAACTCCATGTCCAGGAGATAACTCCTAAGTATTCTAAAAGTGTTTGTACTTATGACATGGAAATGTATTGAGTGTATTTATTACTCAGCTTGTCATTAAATTTTTTATTAAAATACCTAATGCTTAAAAGTTTCTAAAAAATAAAAAGCAAAAGTACTTCCCTGAAAAGCTGGGTGCTGATGGCTCACCCTTATGATAATCCTAGCTACTCAGGAAGATGAGACCTGAGGATCACCATTGGATGCCAGCTCAGTTAGGAATATCCATGAGACTGATCTCCAGTTAACCATCAGAAAGCCACAGTAGAGCCATGGCTCAAGTAGTAGAGCATTTTCCTTGGCAAAAAAATCTCAGGGATAGTTCGTTCCTAGGCACTGAATTCAAGCCCCAGGACCACTCTCTCCCTCTCCCTCTCTCTCTTTCCCTCTCTCTCCCTCTCCATCCTCCCCCCTTTTTTCCTCACCCCCCCTCCCTTCCTTCTTCTTACATACATAAGCGCACACGTGTGTGTGCACACATGCGTGCGCGCGCACACACACACACACACACACACACACACAGAGGACTGGACTCAACTGATAATACACTTGAGCAAGTATGAGACCTTAAGTTCAGTCCCTACCTAGTACTGCCAAATAATAATAACTAAAAATTAATTTAATGGGTTCCAAGAAAAACTTTGATATTTTGCCTGAGACCCATGTTCCTATAACAGTATATCAAATAAAATTTAACTTTGTCTCAGTAATAATCTGTTGAGATTCATGGGGCCATTTGTCTTTACTCTGTGTGAGGCCTGCCTCACACTGAAGTGGCTTTTCTGTTCCTTCTTATTGGTTTCCACTGAGAGTTGTCATCCATGTGTGTGTTTGGCAGCTCTACCTTCCCTTTTCCCAACCCTTTCCCAACCCTTTTCCCGCTAATTTCCTGTTTTGATTTGTTGTGGCCTGGGAAAACAGATGATCAGCTCAGTAAAATGTTTGTGGAACTATGGTAAATAAGCTTTGAACCACAGCCTCTTAGGCAGCTATGTGCTTCATCATGTTGTGTTTTGTTTTGAGAATTCAGGGCATGAACTACTGAGACAACTATTTGGGGTATCTAGAGGTCTTTTCATTTCATTCCTTATTTTGAAAGGATCTAATGAATGAGTACTTTTAATCAAGTATAAAATGTAATTATTTTATATGCTTGTACTGATGGTTGTACTTTCATGTTAAGAAGGTTTGGCCTATACAGTAAACGCAATTTTGCTTCTGACATGTTTCAGCTTGGTGGGATGATTCCATCCTTCTTGCTGCATCATTATGTTAAGCAAAGTAAGTCAGGCCCAGAGAAACATGTTTTCTCTTATATGTGGAAGCCTAAATCTAATTTATAGCTATAGAAGTAAACAAATACAGGACTATGTACAAGTGTACACAAATGTATTAACCAAAATATGGTACTTGTGCAGGAGAAGTCAAATGGTATAACTCCTTAGAAAAACTAACTCACGGTCTAACAAAATGAATACTTGTAAGGTTGGGGGAGGGTCAACCAGAGGGGGATAGACAATGAGATGAAGAAGGGAGAATATAATCATAATATTCACTGCATACCCTACAAAATTAAGAAAATAGAAGGGTGATGTTGGATTGGGAGGGAAAGGAGAAAATCATGAAAGAGATGACATTGATCAAGATGTATTGTATTCATAAATTGATTTGTTGAAATAGAAACTGCCATGTACAGCTACTTGAAAATAATAAAAATGTAATTAAAAACCCTCAGTACCTTAAAAAATAAAACCCTCTCTGTCTGAAGTTCTTCCCCACTTTTTTTTAAACCTTGATTTGCAGGTGTCCTTTGTTTCTCTGTAGCTATACATCTAAACTAGGACAAAGTTCTCCCCTCCAGCCTTCTAGCCCTCTACTGTGTAGAGAGTCTTGTCTGGTCCATGATAAGGCACAGGATAAATAGACCTACCAAGAAAGCCACTGCACTGTGGCTATAGGAACACATGCCCACTTACATTGCATGCCTCAGAAACAAGAGAAGAGTAACTCTCTTACTCTAGCATAAAATAACCAAGTCTGTTTCACATTTCAGGTTATGGTTTTGTTGACTTCGACAGTCCTGCAGCAGCTCAGAAAGCTGTGTCTGCCCTGAAGGCCAGTGGAGTTCAAGCTCAGATGGCAAAGGTAAGTGGAGAACTTAGCCCCTGAAGTCTGACACGGCTAGACTTCCCATCACCACCTACCTTCTCCCTTCACCACACCTGTCCTGTGCCTGCATATCCTCAGTAGCTGTTGTGACAAAGACATTTATTCCTCTCAATTTAATGTGTAGAGGATTTGAAAGTATTTAATGTATAGAGTAAATGATAGAACCCATAAGTAAATCACCAGATTTTTTTCAGGTAATCCAGAATTTAGAAGTGTTTTGAAGTCTGTACTGTTTGCTGAAATCAAGGAATTTATCCCATTTTAAACACATTTCAAAAGAATGTCATAATGGAGTATGTAGCTGGCACATACATGACTTCCAACAAATTACTACTTGAATGAAACAAGCTATACATGTTATTATATCAATGTAATAATTAGACATTTAAAGTGCATTGTTTATGGAATATAAATATTTTTAGTAGTTCTATAAGGACTTTATTCAAGATTTTTTTGTGAACCTTTAATATTCTAGATGAGAAATATTGTTGAGAAACATTCCTGTGGGTGAGGAATATGCCTAAAATGTGTTTCATGTTTGAGATGTATTTTAGCACCATATACATGGATATTAGTTATTAAAAGGCCTGATGTTGTCCCTAAAAATTTTTGTTTTATTATTATTTCCCTACAAGGTGTTTATCTAAAAATCTAGGATATTTTAATTTAAGACTTTGAATAGCTCATGCCTGTAATCCTAGCTACTTAGGAGGCTGAGATCTAAGGATCTCGTTTCCAAGCCAGCCTGAGCAGGAAAGTCCTTGAAATGCTTCTCTCCAATAAACCACTAGAAAACCGGAAGTGGCACTGTAGCTCAAGTGGTAGTGTGCTAGCCTTGAGCTGAAGAGCTGAGGTACAACTCCCAGGCTCAGAGTTCAAACCCAAGACCAACCAAAAAAAAAAAAAAACTTTGAATAGAGTTGACTTTTCCTTTCACATCTGGTTAATCCTCAAAATGAAACAGTGAAGATAGCTAATTCCTAAGGTAGGGTGCCTTTCATAGGTTCATGTGAAGTTGGCCATGCTGAATGTAATGTGCTAGTCTAGGTATAGTTGTGCTCCTTTGAAATGACCATGATCTGTTTTAGAACTGAGATCTAGAGAAGAGAATAAACCTCAAAATACTACTCACTTCTTAAGGTTTTACGTTTTGTTGTAGACATTCATTTATATACCAAACACATCTAGGAGTAACAGGACTGAATAGCTACTTCTACTCAAGACTTTGTTACCCAAATTTCAGTTTCAATTATTTCCTGATATTTGATAACTACAGTATAGTTAAGGAGATATGTATGTAACAATGTAGATTGTCCCCATCTTTCATTTTTCCATTGCTATGGGAAATGTTTTCAGCCCTAAAATGTAACAATTTGATATTTTGAGTATTCTTTTCAAAAGAGCAACAATTTTGCATTATCTAGCTTCATGAAATACAAAAGAAAGTAATTTCTCTGTTATTTCTTTTATTTATTTATTTTTTTATTGTGAGAATACCGTACAGAGGAGTTACAATTACATGGGCAAGATAACGAGTACATCTCTGTTATTTCTAAATGGTAGCACACGATCATTCCCTGGACAGCATTCACAAGTCTATAGGGAAAGAAGGATTATTGAAGCTAAAGGATTCTGATGAAGAGATAAGTTACCTGCTAAGTCCTAAGAAATAAGCTACCTGCTCAGACCTGATCTGCTAACTGCTACTAAAAAACATATGCCCAGGAATCAGAATAAGGATTTGCTTTGAATACAAGAAATCCATTGAGACAAAGATGTTAGGAGCTAAGAAAAGGGATCATTTAGTAACCTTGCCATATAGTGTTTTTAAAGCTTTATGTTGAGTGTTACATATTCTTGAATTTTAGGGTAGAAGTTAAACACAGTCTGTAAATTGTAAGCATTGTGATTTTCCAGGTCACTGTATATCACATAGAGCAATTTCCTGTGGTACTGAAAAACAATGAGGTTTTCAGTCTGTTGTGAACATGTGATACTTGTTCTGCATAGTGATTTGAAAAATGTTTAATCTCACCTTGTAATCAGTGATTTACCTCTGTCCTCTATTCCATCCATTCTAGCTCACTGTTAAGAAGCTGCTGCTTTAGATTAAATTTTGGACCAATTCCATGACCCTTCCAGCCAATCATCACTTAAGGAAGTCTCTTCACTTGCTTCTTTCATTACAGATCTTTCTGGCTGATTTTGGGGGGGTTAGAATGCCTCTTGATTTTTCACATCTGATTAGACTCCATGAAACATAAAAATCTTTAAATACATTTTCAGCCATTCTTGTCCTTATTTACATCATTCTACTTTAGTCATGATGCTATTTTTTACAGGACATTGTATGATGAATGCCTCAAGTTACAGTTCAAACACAGTATGAGCATGTAGGGATTATGTGTACAGGTTTTGAAAATTGTCCCAGAGTCCACTGAAGGGGTATTCATAGCAATTGTCTCCTGACAACTTTGTTCACAATTTACAGGAAGCAGTGCTTAAAAGATTTCCATTCCAACATAATCACTAATTCTGTGTACACACACAAAGTTATATTTAGTTATATTTTAGAAAATTGTAGGGATATAAATTTAGAATATCAATTGAAGTT